GTTATCGCTCAGGGAGGTTACCTTGACCATGAAATTCCAGTTAAATATGAGTGTAAAATAAACATGTTTCACAACAAACATTGAAAATACAAAAACCTGAATGCTTTTTTCAGTGGCTTTCAGACAGACCTAGTTGATAAAAAAAAAATTCTTACTGTTGCTTTCACTTTCATATTTAGAAATGGATGGAAGTGTTTGTTCTGTATAAGTTTATTATTCTGTTTTTTTATTTATTATTTAATAATGTTATTTGTGTTTCTTTGTATTTTATCCTTTAAAATATCAGAACTTGCACATTACATCTGTCTGACTGCGTCTATACATTAAATCAGATGTTATGATGCAACAGCAGAATACATAAGCAGCTTTTTTACTAAAATACTTTTTTAGTCAAATTTGTCATATTTATTCAAATAATTATTTTTACTTTGACTTTAGCAAAAGATGAAGTAGTGCTATTCTAACCTGAGTACAATTTTGGGTTTTTTACCCTGGTCTGAATATCTTACTTTGTGTGTGTGACTCAGCTGCTTAATGCCATTCTTCTTTATTGCCTTGCAGAGTTTCTATTCTCATTAACGCAAGCGCAGTGTTTTAAATTCTAGGAAATACCACAGCAGCAGTGATCTGGAATAAAGGTATTTCTCACATTGTTTTTGCTGTGTGGAAATTGCCGGAATACATTTGAGGATGCTTTTATTATATTGACAGACAAACGCAGCTGAAAACGGAAACCACAGTATCTCATCTTAGTCACATGACCCGATCTGACCAATCAGAGCGAGCCAAGTCCAACGGAAAAGTACGCTCATTGTTCGGATGTTTTGCCAACTATAACTTATAAATATGGAAAAATACAGTCCAGATACGGCGGGATATGGATATATCAGGAGTGTCCTGATGGAACAGACGGGTCCCGGATGCGTTTTGTTGTGTTTTTAATGAAATGCCACGTGTTCAGGTTTGATGAAGTCTGTATATCAGGATGGTTTCGTCACGTGACTCCCCTCCCCCACCCAACCCGGGGAGTTGGGGAAGAAGGCGGACATGTTTGAGGGGAAATGTGCTGCTTAAAAAGTATCCAAGTGGAAGACAAAGAAGATTTTTGGAAGACAGGTTTCGCTCTTTTTTTGAGGATTTACTTATCAACTTTTGATTTTCTCTAAAGGCTTTTCAATATAGATTTTTTTTCCAACATTTTGATTAATATTTTTCTGGGACTAATTAAGATATTTTTTAAAATCCTGACAAACTGTTAAAGCTGTAGTAATATTTGTTACTAGATGAGCTGAAGGGGATCTTTCTGCCTATTATTTGAGTGACATTGATTCTGTAACCTTGGTATGGGGGATGGGCACATATGGTTAGGTAATGTCCTGTGTGCCTCAAATTATTCATCTTATGAGTTTAGAAATACAAAAGATTACAATTTAGTGCTACTTATAGTTAAAATTGTTATCTTGTAAGTTCGAAGTTATTTTTTCTGTATATTCTTAAAAAACCTAAGTATGGCCGAATACAGAAAAACTGGGTTTAAATTGTAGTTTTTGGTTACTATCGACGTCTTTACAAGTATTTAGGTTGTAAAGTTTTTATTTTGGTTAATAGTCGTTTTTCATTTAGGCTGTTGGTTTTAAAACTGCTGTGTCATTGTGTTGATCGTTGCTGCGCTGACCTTGCCATAGGTGGTTTTAGTTTTATAATTTCCGTTTTACCTAAAAGCTAAAAACACTAATATTTTTAGAGCTTAATCCTTAATAGTAATATATTGGTGCTTTTTACTTGAAGGCGCATGTGGACACATTTTTATGGCGGTTTTCAAAAAGCGTCGGTTTGAACGGTTATGCTTAACGGATATATGAACTATTGTCGTTAAATTACAAGATAGTACTTCTATATGATTAGGCATGTGGTTAATTAACTTTACAGCGAGCACTTTTATCAAATTCTTTTGTCTTTCGCTGCTCAAAGATGGCGCCCGCCTACATGTTCTAGAAGTAACTGATGATTTCACGAGGGAGAGGCTCTCTTCAGGCGGTACTCGTGACTGAGCTGGCCAACCAATGGGACTGTTGGTTTTTAGACTACAAGCCCGCGTTAAGGCCGTTTCAACCAATCCCGTTGGTCGCTGTGGAACACGTTGACGTAATATGATATGATAAGGAACTGGGTGTCTCTTTTTCTCTCGGTTTTCCTGAAGCTTTTTGTTAGCGAGCCAGTCACAAACAAGTCACCGGGAAGACAGGGCGGGCTGGACCAATGGTGTTCGACTATATCTTTGAAGGACAGGGGGAACTCACGAATAGGTCGTCCCTGAACGTTGCATGCGGATATCTAACAGTAAACGGGTGTGGTGATTTTGAAAGACACCGCGAGTAGCCAATAAGGATTCTGTGGGCGGAGGAATAAGGAAGGGGTTCAGCCAATGAGGTGAATGGCTGCTCTATAAAGCACCGGGTGTAGTCGCACTCAGTCGCCATTTCAACGAAGCGATTCACAGGGATTTCGTCGTGGCGGGCAGCAAAGAAAACTGACGAGCGGAGACGGATCCTGCGTTTGAGTGTTTCCCAAAACAGAATCCGGATCCATCCTGATGGATATGGCTGTTAACCCGCCTCTTGACAGGTATATATCGGTAGAACTGGCTCTCACTTTAACATCAGAAGGATTATTTTAAGATTTTTTTTGTTTTCATTTTTTACTTCTCTACTGGCTCCCCTTCTGTACTGTTTAACGTTCAGGGTGAGACATGGACTGGACTAAGTACCGGAAAAAATCAATTATTACAATGGACAATTATTTATGAATAAAAAAAAAAAAAAAGAAATTAATTTTTTCAAATAGCCTATGAATATAGTGGCGCCATCTTCGGGTCTTCGCGGCAGTTAGCCGCTTACTCCCGCAGCTCAGCAGTGGATGTTAGCATAGCTACAGATAGCTTGGCTAACTAAACTTGTCTGTCATAGATGTAGTCGGAATGCAACTTTATTAGAGAATAAGGTCGCAGGAGGGGACTGGTTCCCATTGCTTCAGTTATATAATGCCTTTTAGCTTATTAAACGTCCGGCGTTGTACTGTTTGAGCCATCCTTGCGTACATCCAAACAGTCTGTCACCGGCTTGTTGTGCTAGCCATGTGGTCAGATTGTTGTGATGGACGGGTTCCCTGGTACAACTAAATGGTTAAAATTATTTATAATGTATTGAAAAAATATTACCGAGGATCTAAATGGTTAAAATAGGACCCAAGGCTTACTGTTATGTTTCTTTTTGTTGCCAGGTTACAGATCAGTGTCACTCAGATCAACAAGCAGTGCCTTTTACAGTTATTACACTTTTTTAATGTAATGCTTTCATTTTTGCAATCATTTTTGTTTTGATAGTTTTAAATGCTTTTACACAGAACCTTCAACTTCTAGTAGTATTTTTTTTTTAGTAATGTCGCCTTTGTGTAAATTCTTTTGCATATTTTTTATAAATAAAGTACACTAAATGTCAAATGAGTTTCCAGAAGTTTATTTGAGATTTACCTATTATTCTAAATGGATCAATGCAGTTTTAATTTGCACACTGGGATGATTTTATGAGATGAGCTTTAAAGTAGTATTCCTTAATAAACCTTTTGTTTAGGATGTAAGAAAAAAAAAATAAAAGAAAAAGATCAAATGTTTACCATGATGATGGACCATTATGATTTTGAAGTTCTTTGTAAGGCTAGTGTGATGCAGGTTTGTCTTCATCACAAATTAGTCAGCAAAACTTGTGTATATTGTGTTTATTTTTCAAATACCCAGTTTTATAAACTTATAAGAAATCAGGAAGTTATACATGTATATAAATAAAACATGCAATTCCTGGGGAAAATATTTCTAAGCGGTGTAAAAAAAAAACAAACAAAAAAAAACTGAGAGGCAGCCATCAGCATGCTCTGCTGTGTGCACTGTAGCATGGAAATAACCCCACCCACCAGTTAGAGGAGTTTTTCTCTCCTCCCCATCAAGAAAGGAGTGGGAGGAGTTGGTGAACAGGAACTAGGTGTAGAGCAGGAAGTCGATGACTAAAGCAACGCCCATGTTTTCCTATTCAGATAGGATGGCTTGTTTTATTTTTATTAGTTCTCTTATCTGCAATGGGTTTATATTTGTGTTTTTGCAGAGTATATAAGTAAAAGAAAATGTTCTAGTTCAGGATAAGTTAGATTCCCTATTATGCTGGTCTTAACATGAGTAAAAGCTGGTCAGTTTTGAGATTTTATCTATTTTCCCCCTGGTGCATCTTCTTTCCTCTCCGTAAAGTTCACTGGATCTTGATTCCTCTTGGCAGCACTCATTCTGGGGTTGATCCTGGCTATACTGGAGTGACAATGGATCAGAGCACTGGTACAGCTGGGAAACGCATCCGGAAACCTTCCCAGCTCTACGAAGGCTTTGAGAGTCCTGGGATACCCCTGATCAGCCAGATGGTCCCCTCAGGGCCCCCCCAGCCGACGGTGAAAGACCCCAACAGACAGGGAAGGATGACCAACCAGCTGCAGTTCCTGCAGAAAGTCGTCCTTAAGTCTCTGTGGAGGCACCACTTCGCCTGGCCGTTCCACGAACCTGTGGACGCAGTCAAGCTCAACCTGCCTGTGAGTTAAACAGAAACGGAAATTAGAGAATAAAAAGAGAGTAGTTTGTTTATAGGTCTGACTATTAAGCGTATCTGTTTTCAGGACTATCATAAGATCATAAAAACCCCGATGGACATGGGCAGCATCAAGAAGAGGCTGGAGAACAACTACTACCGCAGTGCCAGCGAGTGCATGCAGGACTTCAACACCATGTTTACTAACTGCTACATTTACAACAAGGTAGGCAGGTTTCCATTTTAAATGAGTTGGTTGTGTTGATATGGAGGAATGGTCTGAATACTTAATTTCTGAATGTAAAAGTAGTCCTGTTGAAGATTGACTCAACACTAGTTATTTAAAGTTAAAACTCATTTATCACACCCAGTTAATTTCCAAGTTTATTATTTAAGGTAAGAGCAGGATATTTACAGGATTTGTTTTAATTTGTTTTGTTTGTTTTTTTGGATGAAAAGGTTCAGTTTTTTATTTTATTCCAGTTTTTCCTCAAACTAAACTATTTTCTTTCTCCATGTTTGCAGCCAACGGATGACATCGTGCTGATGGCTCAGTCTCTGGAGAAAGCCTTCCTGCAGAAAGTTGCCCAGATGCCCCAGGAGGAGATCGAGCTGGCCCCCCCACCCGCTCGCAACAAATCTGCCAAATCCTCCAAAAAAGGGAAAACTAATCAAAGTGAGGATGGAGACGATCGGCTGACAGAAACCTGCTGCTTCCTCCTGTCAGATCGGCTCATCTGTTCTATATCTTCCAGTTCTAGGAGGCGTGACGACGGCCCACCAGGTGCCCGCCGTCTCCCAGTCGGCGTACTCTCCTCCCACTCCAGAAACCCCAGACTCCATCCTCTCCACCCCCCCACAGACTATTTTATCTAAGAGCATCAGCTTCCCTGTTGAGCACAGCCTGCCCACCATCACCAACATGCCCCCCACACAGCCCACCGCTAAGGTAACTGGTTTTATGTTTCTGTGGTCGCTGGTTTGACTGGAGGGGGGATGAAGGTCTGAAAGTCATCATCCTCTTCTCTTCCACCACAGAAAAAAGGGGTGAAGAGGAAGGCAGACACCACCACTCCCACCACCATGGCCATGCCCATCATGGGCACCATGGGGGTGAGCGGGATCGGCCTGGGGATGGGCGGCGGCTTGGACTCGCCGCTGACGCTGACCTCTCTGGGGATGGACCACGGCTCTCCGCTGGGAATGAGCCCGGGTTTGGTGATGGGCATGGATATGAGCCATGGAGGGATGATGATGGGGAACAACGGGACGGCAGGGAGCAGGAGGGGAGTCAGCGGACGGCCCATCAAACCCCCAAAGAAAGACCTGCCGGACTCCATCCTGCCCACGCCGGTGAGGCGCAGCAAGCTGACGCCGCAGCTTCGCTACTGCAGCGGCGTGCTGAAGGAGCTGCTGTCCAAGAAGCACGCAGCGTACGCCTGGCCGTTCTACAAGCCTGTGGACGCCACATCGCTGGGTCTCCATGACTACCATGACATCATCAAGCAACCCATGGACCTGAGCACAATCAAGGTACAGAAGCTGCAGCAGCTCAGAAGTTTTAGCTCCGGTTTATTCTTGGTTAAAACAGGAAATTTAAGTGAGGATGTTTGTTTCTGCAGAGGAAGATGGACAGCAGGGAGTACAGAGACGCCCAGCAGTTCTCCGCCGACGTCAGGCTCATGTTCTCCAACTGCTACAAGTACAACCCTCCTGATCACGACGTGGTCGCCATGGCCAGGAAGCTCCAGGTAACGCCACCAAATATGGAAATGATTTCCCTGCATGAAACAGAAAACATCCGTATTTACGTAGAGGGAGATTTGTTTCGTACCTTAAACCGGAGAACAGATTCTAGAAGATTTGATGAGATAGTTTAACAGCAAAGTAAAGTCAAACGGCTGATTTACTGATGCTTAATCAATTTTATTCTCCTTCAGGACGTGTTTGAGTTCTGCTTCGCTAAGATGCCTGATGAGGCTCCTGCCCCTCCCACCTCCTCATCTTCCTCGTCTTCCTCCTCGTCCTCCTCATCTGAGAGCGAGTTCAGCAGCGACAGCGAGCCGAGCGACAGCAGCCTGAGCTCCGACTCAGAGGAGGAGAGAGCCAATCGGCTGGCAGAGCTGCAGGAGCAGGTTGGTTCTGATCCTGACCCCAAACGGAACAGTCTTGACATCATGGTTTTAAATAACATTTAGTTAGACCATAATCAATAATTTCTTCGTGTATTGAATTTTAGTCCCACTTCCTGATTCAGAAATAATTGCTTCATTTATTTCCGTTAGTTTTAGTTCTGGTTAAACAACTTTTGTGTTTTTTTACTCTGATAAACCTTCAAATTTCAGATATTTCTAGTCTTATTAACTGTTTTTAACTTTTTTTTTTTTTTATAAATTCTTCTTGCTGCTAAAATTAAGATTTTGGATTTTATAAAATCTTAAATTTATCTCTGAGACTTTAAGTCGAAGGTTTTTCCAGGAACTAATGTTTTATCCGTCTGGTTTTCCAGCTGAAAGCTGTCCATGAGCAGCTCACGGCGCTCTCTCAGGGTCCCATCGTCAAACCCAAGAAAAAGAAAGAGAAGAAGGACAAGAAGAAGAAGAAGAAAATGGAGAAACATCGGCGGGTAGAGGAGGAGGTCGTTGCAGTAAAGCCGCCTAAAGCTCCCAAGATGTCCAAGTCCTCTAAAACAAAGAGCACCAAAGGGATCAGCTGTCCTGTCATACCAGCGAAGAAGACGCAAAGCAAGAAAAACAACAAGAGCAAGTGAGTAACGCCCCCTATTGGTTTAAAGAACTGAAGTTTGTTATTGTTCTAACTCTCCATCCGTCATTCTGCTCCATCAGATCCAAAAAGGGCAACATGATGTTCAACGTGTCCCAGCCGATGCACGACCCTCTGGTCAGCCATTTTGACTCCGACGAGGAGGAGGAGACGGTGCCCATGTCGTACGACGAGAAGCGCCAGCTGAGCCTGGACATCAACAAGCTGCCGGGCGAGAAGCTGGGCCGGGTCGTCTACATCATCCAGTCCAGGGAGCCGTCGCTCAGAGACACCAACCCCGAGGAGATCGAGATCGACTTCGAGACGCTGAAACCGTCAACGCTGAGGGAGCTGGAGCGATACGTTATGACCTGTCTACGGAAGAAACCCCGTAAGCCGTACGGTGAGCAGAGAACCGGGTTCAGTCCTGGTCCTGTTGGGTTTGGGTCGTTCATTAAACTCTGTCGTCATCCTGTTTTTGACGTGAACTTTCTCTGCAGCGAGTAAGAAGAACAGCGCGGGTAAAACCAGGGAGGAGCTGGCGATGGAGAAGCAGATGGAGCTGGAGAGGCGGCTGATGGACGTCAGCGGGCAGCTGAACTCTGGGAAGAAGCCGTCTAAGACCAAAAGTGAGTCCTTCATTCCTCATTTAGGAAAACAACCTGTTATCGGGTAAATAATCTAATTAATAATCCAATTAACTTTTATTTTCCCTTCAGATGATAAACCAGCGTCAGACGTCCACGCCCAGCCGTCACGTCTCAGCGCCAGCAGCTCTTCCTCAGACTCCTCTTCATCGTCGTCCTCCTCATCATCCTCAGACACCAGTGAATCAGATTCTGGTTGATTCAGTCGGACTGTTTGTAAACGATGGGGTCCATTAAGGAGCTCTGGGTTCAGTCGGACCCAGTCCAGAGAGGTGGGCTCTCCCTGCGCTCGGCTCGATCCGGCTGATGAATGTGAGAAGAGAGCGACGGCGTCCTGCTGGTGACAGGCGGAGCCACGGGAAGCTTCTCCTAACAAAGACTGCTGCACATGGAGGGATATGGGTGCTAGAGCCAGAATCTGTGTGTTCTGGATAATTTTCCCCTCTGAACGTGCTTCCTTGTCTTTATGCTGTATAGATCACATGTACAGATGTATAAATATCTATTTTCTTTTATAAAGAAGCCTTTTATGGAGGTTATTTATTCCCTGATTGTGGGAAAGGATTGACCTGGCGTGTACAGAGCTGTGTGTTCCGTTTGTTTGAGCGATAAGAGAGTCCACTTTGTTTTGTTTTGTATGAATGGATCTTGTATGTTTGCATGTGTGAGAGATCCGGCACCATAAGTGCATCTTTGTGAAGTTCCTCATAGTTTAGAGGCAGACGCCGCTCATGGCGCTGCACGCAGAAGCACCTTGGTTCAGTAGGAAACAGACCGCATGCATCAGAGGAGCAGACGGACGCTCCTGTGTCGTCCTGTTAGTCGTTGTACAGAAACACGTCTTAGTTACAGGCTCAGTATTTCTGTTCCATGTTAGCCGTTTGTTTTCTTCACGAGCCACAATCTGTAAACATGTTGCTTTTTTATTTGACCAATCTGCTAATAAATTGTGAGGACCTGTCTTGTCCAATCACCTTTGTCTGAATAACTCCTGAATCCTTTTATTTATTCACTTAAAAAACATACATTTGAATTTAGTCAATTAGTTTTTCACTTAAAGGGAAACATTTTTTTTGGTATTTAATTCAAATTATAGTTTTCCTACAGCTGAAATCTTTTTATTAAAAACCCTTGACTGACGAGTTAATTTCACGCACTGTTTTTGTTGACTGTTCCATAAAATATTTTATAATGGAGTGTTTTTTGGTTTTATTAAGGTTACAGCTTAAAGTAGAGGTTAAATTGTTTATGGGAAATGTGGATTTAACTGAAGGGGTTTAGTTTCTTGAAATATGCACATTTGGACTAATAAAGGTCTACATGTTTTACAGAATCAAACGTGTTTTTTTTTTTTACTTCATGATTTGAGGTTCTTTGCCACATTTGGTTCCCATTACAACAAAAACTAAATGTCAGTCTTGCTCTGCAGTTTGTCAGAAATCTGAATGCTTTGTTCTCGTTTCTGAACCTAAATAAAAACATAAGCCTTTAACTGTTTGGATACTTCTTTCAAAAACGTAAAATTTTATGTAAATTATTGAATTCTGTAAAAGTAATGTACTTTAAGTAAATTCTCCTATATAACAAACCAGGTTATATAGATATTAATTTATATTTTCAATAGATTCTAATGCTTGGATGGCAGATTGTTTCCATCAATTCAATATAATTTATCAACCTTTCATGTGAAAATCTAAAGGTGACGGGCGCCCTCTGCTGGTCAAATGTAAGATAAAAAAATCGTTATGGCATTGCCTCTAAAACTACTTGAACATTAAAAAAATTAGTTTTTGGTTCTAGTTTAATGTGACAGTCTTGTGGCTTTTTATTCTCGTGTGCAAATATGAACTGTTGTGTTTGGCAATAAACATTTATGGATAGTTTGTATTAGAAAATTGCAAGTGTAGATTTATTTTCACTGCCAGCCGGATATTTAGCACAGTCATTTTTATCCCCTCCTGTTGGCACAGAGTGATTTATTTACATTTCCAGGTGTTTCTACTGGAAATAAATTCCTAAATTCCAAGTTAATTCGTTTGAAATAAATTGTAAGGTAAAAGTTGCACTTCTTAGCTATAAAATAAAGTAGAAATCAATCATCAGCCTGACTGACACGAAGAAGAAAACTGAGGCAG